ATTAGTCTTCCAGCCCTCAAACCACCACTACAGCGTCGGAAACTGCCGGGTCACAGCCATTTGCTTTGGAAAATTGGCGATGTTTGGTGCTAGAGATCGATTACCCTTATAATCTTTCCCCACCCGCCACCTCCTCCTGCTTACCCCACCCCTACCCGCCCCAGACAATAGCGTCCGAGCTCTTCCAGGAAAAAAATAGAAAAGAAAGCAAGGAGAGAAAGAAAGAAAGAAAAAAGAAAGAAACTGGGGGATGAATCTGACTCCAATAGGAAAAGCGTGTCTCTAGAAGTGGTGCTAATGGGAAGAGATTTCCGAGCTCCAGAGGACGATGATTTGTCACAAAGGGTAGCTGGCTCGGTGCTTTGGGCTGGAGCCGTGTAGGAGATCCTTGGAGAAGTCATTGTGCACAGAAAACCGAAGACCTGTACAAACATGCCTGTTCGCAGAGGTCATGTGGCACCACAAAATACATTTTTGGGTACAATCATACGAAAATTTGAAGGGCAAAGTAAGTTATCGCTTTCTATCTATTTTGCTATAGTAGTTTTATTCTGCTTATGACTAAATGGACAGCAGCTCCAGACTATTTTTAAGTTTGGAGCCTGCAAAGAAAACCCCGGAGGTAAGGAGGGGATCCCTGGCAGAAGTAGCAATGTTTTTGATCTAGAATACGGATTAACAACTTGAATTACTGGCTGGTGGGCTTGTTTGGGTTTGTGTGTGGGGGGGGTGGGAGTTTGGGAGGGGGGATTAAGGCTATTTTCCCATACTATTTCAAGGAATAGTTTTTATCGTTAACTGTATCCATATTGTACAGCTATAGAAGTTATATCTCTTACCTTCTTCTGAACGAGTGAGATGGCTCTAAAAGCAGAATGTAGAATCTTGCTGTCTTTGCAATGTCTAAAAAATAGGCTAAATTTATTATTATGATTGTTAATGCTGTTAATAATAATTGCCTTTTCAAAATAAAGCAGAACTTCAGAAAATATGCAGAAGAGTTATTAAAGAGGAAATACTCTCTTACCTTGTTGTCATGACTGCATTTTGAAATAGATGTCAAATTTCTCTCTTTTGTTTATGTAAGTCTAAAATATCTATCAAACCAGTGCAAATGCATCCTCAGGGAGAGTCTGTGAGATCTTTTCCAATGCAGCAGTTTACTACCTGTCGAGGAGGATGAAGCTGAAGTGTTTTTTCCTGGCCGGAATTCTGGTTTCCTATTAGCTGTAAGAAGGAACACTTGATGCTTAAAATGAATTTCATTTAGAAACAGTAGTTTGATGTATGTACATTGATTTAAATATTTAGCATAATTTTAGTATCAGTCTGGTGTGAACCCTTACAGGTAATTCCAGTTCATGTACTTCCATATACTTAAACTCGTACTATCATGTGTATTATATATATTTTTTGAGAAAAAAATAAAGATAGTGCTACTCCTAATTTATCTATGTTCTAAGTCGGTGTTGCTACTCCAAATTTTATGTAGTGAAATGTATATTTTTTCACAATAATGATACACTAGCTACTAAATAGCCAAGTGATAGTGAAAGTTCAGCTTATTGAAAGATAGCAGAAAAAGTAAGAATGAAATCTCCAAATATGTCGCTGTGTTCAAAGATGGACATATTTAAAATTTTGAAGGCTTGCACTGTTTACTTGGTGTCATGCAAGAAATCTTTCATAATGAAAGCAATCACCCTGTGAATTTAAGTAACTAAAAATTAATGTCATTAGCAGTAAGTGTATCAAAGTTGGACATTTATAATTACAATGGGAATAGTGCGTTAAAAAGGTTAACAGAAACAAACTAACAAGAGTTGAAAATTTTTGAACCTATCTTTGAGATGAGAGTTTGGGAAAGGTGATGGATGGAAGCACAGAATTCAGTAACATTTGCAAAATGTTTCCAACATAATAATTGTGTCATGTACCCCCTTTTTTTTGTTTTTAGGAATTTTCTTCTATTACTTTCTAGATAGATTTGTTAAAATGCTGTCTATAAATTTACTGTAATTCACCTCAATGAAAATCCCTACAGAGTAGTTTGAGATGGACCTTACATCAAGAAGCCCTTCACATGAGTAGAAGCCCCTTCCCAAGGCTCTACTTTTCCCCAGAAAAGCTACTAACTTTTCAAGGACTTTCCTGGAGTTGCGACTGATGGGACGGCACGGCACTCATCGCTTGGGCTTCAGTGAATCCTGAAACAGACAAAACTTTGAAGTCAAAGGGATGTTTACAGAGGCTTGCATAGTGTGATTTTATTTCCTTAAAAACAATTATATTCACCTTTAATGTATTCTAAATTAATTTAAGTTTCTTTAAAAGCTACAAATCAAATTATCAAATGACTGAAAATCTATGTATTTCAGGCATTCCTGTGAAAAGGAGGGTTGTTCAGCATTCATCCCTGCAATCGACCATATAAGAAATGTTGAGAGAGTACTAAAAAATGCATCACTTTCTTTTATTGCAGATAAAAAATTCATCATTGCTAATGCTAGAGTGCAGAATTGTGCTATCATCTACTGCAATGATGGGTTCTGTGAGATGACCGGGTTCTCCAGGCCAGATGTCATGCAGAAACCTTGCACCTGCGATTTTCTTCATGGGCCAGAGACCAAAAGACATCATATTGCCCAAATTGCTCAAGCTTTGCTGGGATCAGAGGAGAGGAAAGTGGAAGTCACCTATTATCACAAAGATGGTAAAGTCTGGCTTTATTTTCAAAACTTTTTGCATGTTTGGTTAGCAGTTGATTGTTAAAAGAGGTGTGTATGTTATGCTGGCAAGCCTCTTTGCTGGAGGTGTTGTAATTTCTCTGAAGTCCCATGAAATATATTTGCGTGTTTCAGTAAGGGAATCTGCCCAGAGAGAAGTGGGTGTATGGAGTGTATCACTGTACACTCACTCTACCAGCTGAGTGAAGCCAGCATAGTGTTTGCAACTCTGGAACAGAAGTTCTCCTCTTAGGTGGTTTAAAGAAGATGGCAATCACTTAAAGTAATCAGCACAGAGGAAGCATACCTTGATTTAAAAGCAGTATTTTACCACGAAGTTAAAAGTAAAAAACAGCCCATCAAAAGAAAGCATTAGCATGTAAAGAAAGGGACAAGTCTTTTTCAGAGCTGAGATATTGTGAAGTACCTGCGATTAAACTACCAATATTGTCCTAGTATTGCCAGAGTCAAAATTTGGGCTTGCCTAGACTATGAACTATTCCTTGTTATTCAGTAAAGAGTCAATACATGCAGAATGGCTGAATCTACTGATACTTTTTTTTCTTGTTAAGAGCAAAAAATGAATAAATGTATTTACAGATTTAAAAATGCATACGCATAAGATGTAATTATGGTACATAATAGTTATATATAGAGTTTTGTTTTTGTTGGTTGGGTTTTTTTTAATTACCCAGAGTTATTTACATCTTTCAAATGAATTCAAGTAATTGATAATTGTGGTGTACCTTATTTTGTCTCTTGCTGTGTACACTCTTGGGAGAAGGAAAAGGAAATTCATATTCAAATGCTGAGCTTAAATTAGTTCTGGAGAAGTGCCAGTGTGTTGTTTACATCAATTTTAGAATCACATGCAATGTGCTCTATCATTTTAAAGTCACAGAGTTAAATCCTGTTCTCAATAATTCTGTTGTTATCTTGGAGAGGCTTAAGTAATAAGTAATATGATTTTTAGCTTAGGCTGGTATAATTCATATAGGACTCAGGCCAGCCATTCTACCCACACTACCCATATTTAAGCATACTCTTCGTAGAAGATTCTCAGTAGAGCCCTTTATTCTTAGATCTGGTTTGGTGGTCTGGAACTGAGTTCAGTCAAGATTTGTTGTTGTAGCTGTGCCTTGGACATAGATTTCTCATGAGACCTGAAACTGTGTCTTTTACACATCTATCCTGTGTTTGTGTTAACTTGGCATGTGTTAAAAATAATTTTGCAAAAGGAGAATGTCATTACTATCTTTCACAGCCATCAGCCTGGAGCACTGTTTGGAGATGTGGTAGTGTAAAAGTCCTAAAGTCTCCCAAAACGTTAGGAGTGAGGGAAAGGCATTGAAAATTACTGCTTATTTGTCAATTATCAGACATAGATAGATTTCTAAAATGCTGAATTCTGAAATCATGCAAGACAACATAATCTGTTTGCGACAAACCAAAGAAATACTGACCATAAAAATTGCCATATCTTTCACAAATAGTTTTGAGTGCTGAGTTACAGATTATTCAGTGTTAGCAATCTTATGCATAAAGGTTTTCAGTAACTTCACTTCTGTGAATAGTTACTTTAATTGCCTCAGTATTTTACTTGTCTATATGTGTTTGGGATTCACCATGTGAACTGTATGATCTGCTAAATTTAAAGAAACACAGGTGAATCAGGCAAAAATTGTCAAAATATGAGATAGGTCTGGCACTCAAATACATAGCTATCTTGATAGCATAGCTTGATTGTCTTGATTTTTTTTGTTTTGTTTTGTTCCAGATAATATTCTCAAAATGTGATAGAATATCTTAAGTCTATTTGGTGTCATGAAATTGAAACTACCTGTATGATGAATGTAATGAATGTTACTAAACATTCTATAGTTATTAAATAACTCAAAAATATATACCTCACTTTTCACCTTTTCAAAATTCATTTTTCAATATATAGCATATATACATACACCTATATATAATTTAATCTATATATTGTAACAATATACAGAATAGAGATACCTAACAAGGACTTCATTCAGGTTGTGAAACAAAGTAAATTTCAAGAGTTTTCTAAAAATGTGAGAGTTTAGTGCCTGGTTAGTTTCTTATTTTGCATGTGTGCTCTGAGTGAGTATGAGACTTGAGGTCAATTTCAGCAATTTTCAATTTTTAGAAGTCAATTCTAGCACAGTAAGAAATGTAACATTCTACATGTGAGTAACCCAAGTTACTCCAATAAACCATCCACTGCTTAAAAGTTTAATTTGACACTTTATTTCATGGCAAGACATTGTATAATATTTAACATAATACTAAGCATACAAAGGAGGAAGACACCTCAAGAAGGTGTGAATTGCTTGCACTTCCTCTGACAGGAGGTTCTGAAGACCATATTATGCACTCCTGACTAAATGCCCAGTGAATTGCAAATAAAAGCTTATTCCACATCACACTGTCATTTACTCTACATAAGCCACTGATTATATTAAAAATTATTTTAGTATTTTGAAGTAAAGCAAATGTCAGTGGGATAACTTATAAATCTAATCTGTAGTCAGAATTCCAGCAATGCAGATATCAGAAAGAGAATCACTCTATAAATAATGCCTTTTCTTTTTGATTCTAAATACCACCTCATATAATTTTAAAATGTCACAGCTTTGAAGCTCAGCTTAAAAGAAAATTCTTGCTATAGAAAAATGGTATTGCACATATACATGGGAATTAGGATTCTGGTGTTCTCTACTGGCCTATAGTCCACTTTTCGAGATAAAAGTCCAGGATCTCGAGTTTTAAACATCTTGGTGATGCAAGACTGAAAGCTGCTGTTTGTTCACTGTTTTAATCTTTTGGCCAAATTACAAACTCAAAGAAAGTGTGACAGAAGGATGGGAAAAAGTTTTGTTGCAAGTTGATATTCAGAAAATGGCAATTGCTTGAATCTACACTGCCTTAAATATGACAAACAGAAGATAGAATGGTCAAAGGAGAAAAAAATTCTATGTATGATGGTTTTATAAATGAGTAACCTGGATGGAGCCTGTTTCCTTTTTCACCGTGCAATGTGGGGAGGGTGCCGAGAAGCATCGAATGCTCATGATAGCTTTGTTTTGTTTAATTGTTTAGATTGGCCTGGACTTGGGCACCCAGCGTGACCTGGGCACCCAGCAGGCCCTGTCCCAACCACACCAGGGCTGTCTTCCCAGCAGTTTTTAACATTTGCAGCTAAAAGCCTTACTAGCTGCTCTGAGTACTTCTATCAGAAAATAGCTTACTTTTGGTTTTAATTTCTCCTCACTCTTTTTTCTTTTACAAGGGTATTTACACAATCCAAGCAAAGTTCTAGTCCTCTGTCCTCTTCAAGTAGTGCCACAGTATGCAATTGCATAGCTACCAAAAGAGTTAATTACTGAGAAAAATGGTTAATGGAAACAGATGGTGCCAGAACTAGACGTCCAAATTTACAGGTTCTCATAGCACAAGTAGCTCCACAATTGTCACTGGATGTACTCACGGGATTAAAAACACAGTAAATTTCTCTTTTAATGTAAATATGCCTTTTTAAAAAGAGCAATAGATAAATACAAGTCACAAGAACTATTATTTTGAAACAAATTTTTTTTTTCCCAAGGATTGCCCATTAGGCACTAGCATCTGCTTAATTAAAAAATTTTACTCTGATATAAAAGCAGCAATATCATAAATTCCTTGCTATCTCACTTTTTTTTTTTCACTAATCTTACAGCTATATCCTCTGAATTATACTTGAAGGCAAGATATTGTTTATACTGGATATCAGTTCTTATTTTAATAAAGTTATTTATGGTGAAAATGTTTGACAGCTCTTCCTTTGAGGACTCCATTTTGCGGTTTAAATCATTATTGCATAAATCATTCTTGACAGATGTAAAATACTGCTGGAGGTAGTAAAGCTGTAAAACTTTTGAGATAAAAAGTATAATTATTTTGGGAATGAGAATGGATATATAATAATCAGAAAGTATTGTACCACATAGAATACATTTTTACTTCTTACTGTATGTTTTGTGGGCAATAATGGGATATGGCTAAGCTTGCAGGTGATATCTGTTAAAGGAAGGTAGGATCATTTAAACTTAGCCTATATGCATCAGATATTCTAGGGCTGAGAAGAACTAAGGTAGAGTATAGGTCTGAGCAAAGATGAGATCAAGCAATTTGCACAGACCTCACAAACTAGTTGCCATTTACCCAGTTTCAGAAAAATAATTTGCCACAACTGACTGCAAGTTAAACATATTTTCATTTTCAAAGCACATTTCCAAACTGGTATCTTAAGGCCTTTTCAGCTCTTTTGTGAGGATAGGAAAATAAAAATTGTGCAAACGTATTGATGAAATAAAGTGAAAATGGTATTAAGAGTTCTTAAATAGATCAGGACTTCATTTAGAAGCTCAACATCCAGACTTCAGTCATCATAGGCATTTTACCACCTGTGTGAACCTACC